CAGTTATGGCAGTGATGACAGGGAGAGGTTTTAAAGATGTCGCCCAAGAAGAGAATCTCAGTGAAACAGAGAAAACACCAAATGCGAAACTGAGATTGGGGAAAAACGGGCAACAAAGACTTCATTGAGACAGGAGAGCAAAAGTAGGAAGAAGTGAGAAGCCTGGATAAGAAAAGAAACTTTCTTTGAAATAGGAAACATTCAGTTCAAAGGACTGGAAATACATGGATCAATAAATTTAAATGCATCAAGGAATTAAATTAAGAATTAATTAAGAGTACATCTATTTCCAAGGATAATAGGGAAAAACTTCCCTACAGGAGGAAACTGTTATCCCTTCAGTCACCCATCATGACAAGTACCATGTGCATCAAAGGAAGCAAGGAGCGAAAGACCCGGGTAACAGAATAACAAAACTCCTCCTTAGTTCAAGATACCAAGCAGAGATTTGTTTTCTAAAACCGTGTAATTTTATTATACTAAGTCTAACTGATTTCTTCAGCAGTTCTCAGAGACCAAAAACCTATAAATAAATCTGCAAAATCCTGCTGAATCTGGTAACACAGTGTCCAGTACAAGAAGAAACATATAGAAAAGGAATCTTATGCTAGAGGAAGAAACAATTCAGATAAGAAGGTAAGGGGTATTTGGGAAAGAAAAGCAGAGTTGAGTTTTAAGAGTAGTCGCTTGTTCCCATAAACTGTTTTCAAGTTGATAGTTTCCCCTATGGTTCCTCCACATCCTGCAGAAGGCTCAACTGTGGGCTCCCCTCAGAAAAAAACTTTTTTTTCCCCTGACCTTCAGTTCACCCTTAATGTGTGCATCCTGCATTATCGTAAAAAAGGCGCTTTCTCACTGCTAATGGTTTTTCTTTAAAGAGGATTTTTTTTTACTAAAATGGAGAAATGAAACAGACTGGCAGTAATAATGATGGGGCAGGGTGAGAGAACTGTCACATTAAAAAAAATGTTAGTTCCACAATTCTCAACATTGCTGCCAGTCATATAGCTACCCATAGCGATGGTGACAGCACCAGCATAAAAAGAGTATTGGTTATTAGAGGAATTATAAACATTTTGGGTTAAGAAAGGTTAATTGATAACTTTAAAGCACCATCATCTTACATGAAACTGTTCTTACATGTTTTTGACACAGGAGGAGACGTATGGACATCTGGAATGTTTGATCTTGACACTCTGACAAACACTGAATTATTTCACCAGTAAGTAAAAAGTAATGAGCAAAGAAACTTTCAAATATGGATAGAAATTACCTGAATGACAGTCCATACCTACCGTTGATGGAATGGCATGGTAAATATCTCTAACAAAAATTTAAATATAAGTAACAACTTTAATTGCTTATCTTGTTGGAAAATATAATCTCATCTTGATTTTTTTTTTAAATACCCAATGTCTAAATAGTTTGTGGAACATTAGACTTGTGTAAACTTGTAACTTGCATCCTGATTCCATCCAAAACCTGTCATATTAAAATGAGGCAGATGAACCTCACACATGTTTTATCTTAATATGTTTTCATTTATCATCTTTAGTCTTAGACCTTTGTTCTAATCCAGGAGAGAGACGTGCATCTAAAAACAACCAACCCTCAAAACCAACCTGCCCTAAACCCAACAACAAAGCAAAGTAGCACGGATGTTTCCATAACAAAACTGCTCTGCTGGGACAGAGCTTTGTAATGAAAGGTCAGGACAGATAAATCTCACAGGTCTCCTCTGTTTCACCAGTTTGCTTGGTTGTTTTTGTTTTAAGGGGGTTGATCTGGTGAGACAGAACTACTCTTTTAACAATAATTTGCATACTGTGTATGCACATAACCCACGTATTAACTTCAGTAAATCAGACGGAATCATCTCCTGTTCATTATCACATGGGACTTTTGGCTTCAACTTCTTTTGACCAGGCACAAATGGGCAGGATTCAGCATGCACAAAATTATAACACAGTAAGTCTTAAATTACACCCAAATAGTTTTTCTGTACTTCTGTTAGTGACCTCTGTTCATAAAACTCGCTGTCTTGTGATGGTCCAGCCACTTCTTTCAAGAAGACTTAATTCAGTAATATTAAAATTGTAGTCACACAAAGAGAAACAGAACCCTACACACACTGTTTCAGCTTACAAAAAGCTGGCTAGGCTGCTTGGGCTCTGCAGTTCCCATTCAAATAAATACCTAAATGGGAATTTAGGTATTTTTACTTATATTGACTTTGTCAGGAAAGTCTTTCCTGATGACTCAGCAAAACTGAGGCACATTGTTAAAATCTCGACCATCAGAGCAGCAAGAGAAACCACAGCAAATATTTGAGCACGGGGTCAGCCCACTTCCTGCGTTTCACCCGTAGTTGGAGGAGGTGGCGAAGGCGCTGCCAAGTTTTTGCCAGTGCCGTCCGTTTCCCAAACTTCTGAATGAGTCTGACTTGGATCTGCTCATGTACTTCCACAGAATTGTTACGAGAGACTCCGTATCTGGCCACTATCCAGTTAAATAACTGGAAAGGCATTTTTATTTTGCAAATGAAAACGTTTTGTGACAGAAATGCTGCGCATGATCGTAGAGACCTCTGACAAAGCCAGCTGGCTACTGGAAAGATGGAAAATCAACAACTGCACTAGTCTGGCTGCTTGTTTCACAACTGTCGAGCTGTTAGGCAATAGTAATATGGTTACTGCATATTAATAGAATATAACACTAATTAAAGCCTATTCCACCTAAAAGCCTGGTAAATAATCTAATTTCTGATTTCTAAAAGCCTGCACATTTAAATAGCTAATGGCTGTTTATGATATTTGCTATGTTATTAAGATTTGAACTGCGACACAAATTTACGCAATCCAAGTCAGTAATCTACACTTTAAAAGTGCTTTCAGTACAAAAGGAATCAGTACAATCTCTTGGGTAAATATTCTAAATGCAGGATACATTCTCCTCCCTCACTACAGATGCTTTCTGCAACACCAGCCATTTTTACAGATAAAATGAACGCAACTTCTTTAGAAGAAAATACTTCCAAAATAGCGATTAAGAGAGCTCTTCTCCATGTCTGGGATAACACAGTCCTCTTTTGCTGACCACGTTGTAGACAGAGGTTGCTACGAGTTTGGTTATCAGTGAGCGTGTGATGGGGAAGCCGCATCTCATTTTAAATTCCTGTAAATATTTTGCGTTTTTACTGCCTTTGGGACAGCGTTAGTGTGTAAGCAGATGTATGAAACCTCTATTTGTCCCTCAGAAAAGCTAGCTGAGCTCGACAGCTAGGATAAAGCCTAGGCAGCCTGGCATGCCTCAGTGGCAACAGCAAAGCCCTGATGTGGTGAAGCCCTCAAAACATGTGAATTCCCAGGGAAAAAACCTGGAAGCATACCAAGATCTTACCTTTGAGCCTTGTGCTGCAGCACTTGTACAATGTCACCTCAGGGACCAGCGGTACGAGTACGCACGCAAACGGACTTCCTCAATCCAGCCTGGAAGTTCAATATGGAAACTCAAACACAAGAGTCCTCACTCTCCACAGCTTCCGTCACAAGCTCCCGGAGGGAAAACAGTTTTAACAGCTGGTCACACACCCGAAGAAAACCAAGATATCTCTGTAGCAGCAGAAAAGCTTACGCTGTTTGGGTATATTTCAGGGGAAAAAGAAAAGAAAACCAAACTGAACGAAAATCTCGTCTGCTCAAATAACATCTTTTATGGAAATAGTCCCTGAGCCTTGTTATCAGCTGAGCTCTGCTACACACAGGCTGTGGGGAAATACGTAGGTGTTGATATTGGGAATTAACTTTCTAAATCAGCTGATTCTTGCAGCACTGGGTGTTGGCCTGGCTTGGGACAGACCTTGGAGCCGCACTACCCATTGAGAAGTCAGGCTGTGACCGGAACCGGCTTCAAGTTGTCTGAAAAAGCCTTAAATTATTGTGAATGTGAGGGCTTGCGCTAGCTTCTATTTTGCTGTTAATACTGCCTTTTATTGGTTCACACTGAGACATGCTTTCTGGCGTTTTTTCAGCGTCTTCTGTTACTGTCGTTGCTGCGTGGAGCGCGCCAGTGTCCAGGTCTGTGCGTTTAACCCGAAGGTAGAGAAATACAAAAAGAGTTACACAGGGCCCGAGCCTCCAGGCCAGCGCTCTCCTTTCCTCCCTTCTGGGCCCGTGTTTCTACTTTCTCAACTGCCACAAACTCTTGTTTCCATCGAGTACAAATAAGCAGAAGCTGCACATGTGTTTGTGCCTGGTCCATGTAAAATAACATCAGAAACAGGTCGTGGTGGTTTCCCTTCCTGGCACTCATGTTATTGACTACTCAGGTCAATAATAAAGTGCTTTTTTTGTTTCCTTTTTTTTTTTTTTTCTCTTCCCAAACTGAATGAGGACATGAAAGTGAAAATGGAATTATATGATTAAAAAAATAAAGACGGTGATTTTTTTTTTTTTTTGTACTGCGATGACCACAATCATGAGGATCATCAAGAAAAGTACATACAATACGTGAAGCAGTCGAAGAGCAGAAATCGGGGTGTGTGTGTGTGTGTGTGTGTGTAAAAAAGCAGACCCCCTTTTTAAAACCACCATATTTATGCTTCTGGTTACCTTTTTTTTTTTTTTTCCAAGATTTAAGAGCCTCCGGAAGCCGAAGTCCGTTACAAAGCCCCGTTCCGCGGTTTGCCGGCTTTTTATTCAGGATTTCGAGCTTTGCTCTGGGGACGTGACCCCGCAGTATCTTTCTGAACACGGGGAAAGCCTTTCCTCAGCCGGCCGCACTCAAGGAGAAGTCCCTTCCCCACAGCCTTCCTCCT